AGACAGGGTCTTTGGAATGTAGCCCAGGCTGGCCTTGAACTCCCAGCAATCCTCCTGCCACAGCCTCTATAGCTACTTTATTGTTACTGGTTTCTCTTTTTTCTTTTCTTTTTTTTTTATTCACCCCCATCCCATGTTACTGGTTTCTGATGCAATTTCTTTGTGGCCTGAGAACATACCCTGTGGTTCAGTCTTTGTGAATTTCTTTCTTTTTTCCTTTTTAAAAAATTTATTGGTACATTTTAGGTATACAGTATAGTGACATTCATCATTGGAAATTTGTACCTTTTGTGAATTTCTTGAGACTTGAAATATTGCATATGAACTACTGATATCTTGGTCAGTCTTCCTTGTGTACCTGAAAAGAATGTGTTCTACCATTTCATGTATTTGTTCTGTATCTGTTAACTAGGTCAGAGTAGTTGATGAGGTTTTCCCGAAACCATTTCCATGGATTTTTTTTTCCCCCCTGGTCTAGTTTTGTTGTTTAATTTGAATATTAGCGTGTTTTTTTTTGTTTTTTTTTTGAGACAGGGTCTCACTACATAATTTAGGCTGGCCTTGAACTCATTATGTAGCCCAGGCTTGCCTTAAACTCAGAAATTGTCCTGCCTCAGCCTCCTTAGTGCTTGGATTTATATGTGCCACCACGCCCAGTAGTTTTAAGTTTTATTAGTACATGTTTGCAGTACATATTGATTACATTCTCATGTAGAGTTGGTACACGTACATAACATCTTTTTGGGGTTTTTTTGGAAAGGGTCTTGCTATGTAGTTTAGGCTGGCCTTGAACTCACTATGTAGCCCAGGCTGGCCTTGAATTTGCAGTGATCCTCCTCCCTCAGCTTCCCAAGTGCTGGGATTACAGGCATGTGCCACCATGCCTGGCTATAACACATCATTTTTTTTTTTTTCTGGTACCGGGGATTGAGCTCAGGCCCTTGCACTTGCAAGGCAGGTGGAGTATAACACAGCCTCTTTTTCTGCCCTCTTTGCTCTCCTTCCATCTTGTTTTGGATTTCTGATTTTTTTCAGATTTGGGAATATTTACATGTATGTTATAAGATACCTTAAAGGTGAAACCTAAGTCTAAACACAAAATACATTTATGTTTGATATATACCTTGTACAAATAGTGTAAAGCTAATTTTATACAGTGTTTTTTTTTCTATGTCCAGGGCCCAGGGCCTTCACACTGAGCTACATCTAGCCCTTCTTAAAAAGTTTTTTGAGGCAAGGTTTCACTGAATCACTACGTTAAAAGAGGTAGAGTAGAAGAGAAGGGAATTAATGTACGTGTATTCTGGTTTATCCTAAATATCTTGGAAGCCTTAAGAGTTTGTATACTAGTTCTCTAAGCCAGGCATGGTGGCAGATGCCTGTGATTCCAGCACTGGAGACACTGAGGCAGGGGGATCTCTGTGAGTTTGAGGCCAGCCTGGGCTACATAGTGAGTTCAAGGCCAACTTGAACTACACAGTGAGACCCTGTCTCAAAAAACCAAAACCAAATCAAAATAAACAAATAAACAAAAGAGTTAAAATGGTAGTTCTCTTACTCATTAGTGTTCTGTATTTAAGGTAGGCTTACTGAGGGGAAACCATGCCCTTATTGGGGAATTTAGCTAGAAAGGAGCTGT